CCCCCTCAGGACTCGGATATTCTAGTGTCGGGTATCGAGGCAGGCGAGGACGCGGTGGAGCATATCTACCACACGACGGTAGACAGCAGCAGCAACGACCCGAAGGAGACGTACCAGATGCGGCTGCTGAGGAGCGAGTTCGGCCAAAACGTGGTCAGGTATGTGGAGCGTCTCCACAAGAACCTGGGCCACCCCAGCACGGAGGTTTTCGTGCGGATGCTGACGGCGGCGGAGGCGAGAGAGGAAGTCATAGCGTGTGCGAGGAGGTACCTATGCGCGATCTGCGCAGAGCGGAAGAAAGCCTCCCAACCACCGAAGTCAGCACCACCATCCTGGAAGACGTTCAACCAGGCAGTCTACTTGGACTTCTTCGAGTTCAAGCTGCGCTCGGGCTCGGCGAAGATCGCGCACATGCTGGACGGAGCTAGTCGTTTCCAGAAGTGCCGCATCGTGGCGCGAGAGACCTCGGCCGAGGCCATCAAGTCCATCGGGAAGGCGTGGATCAAGCACTACGGGACTCCGACGAGGCTCGTGATGGACGAGTGCGGCGCGGCGCGCAGTCAGGAGATGCTCGACTGGGCCAGCAACCAGAACATCAGAATGCGGATTGCCCCTGGCGAGGCTCACCACGTCCTGGGACCAGTTGAGCGAGCTCATCAGGTGACGCGCGAGACGCTGGAGCTTTGGTTCGAGGAGGCTGGCCTAGAACGCACCATCGAGAACCTGAAGTCGGCGCTGGACTACGTACCCAATCAGATCAACAGGATGATGCATCACCAGGGCTTCAGTCCAGCGCAGTGGGTTTTGGGCGACGAATGCTACTACTGGCGCGACCGTGGAGCGAGTCGGCTTCAGAAGTCACGCTGGAGAGGGCCGGCTACCGTGGCTCTACGAGAGGATGCGGAGAACGGCCAGCCCAAGGTCTACTGGGTCACGCACGGCGGGAGCTTACCGAGGTGCAGCCCGGACCAGGTCCGACCCATCGTGGAGCGGATCGGCGAGCCTCAGCGACCAGCAAACCTACAGGCAGCACAGGACACACTACGGGGACTACGACGCGGAGGCATCGTGCAGTTCTTCGATATCAGCCAGCTGCCCGGGCCCACTGAGGAGGACAGAGCGGACGAGCCGATGGAGGAGGACGAGCCGTTGCCTACAGCGGGAAGCGCGCCGACGGTGGAGCAGGCCATGGCAGGTCAGCTCAGGCAGGTTTCTGCCCAGGGTTCCGAGCCGCAGGCCGAGCCGAGGCCGGCGAGCAGTGAGGGCCCACCACCGACGGCGCGCGACACGCCGATGCCTGATCAAGATGAAGACCCCGATTTACATCCGCAGCCAGCGGCAGCACCGGCACAGGCAGAGTCAGAAGGTCAAGAAGCTGGCGGTGACAGTAGTGCTTCGAGACTCATCGCCCCCACACCGATGACGACAGCGACCGACTCGGCAGCCAGGTTCAGGGAGATGCGAAGGAACCTGGACGCCGCAGAGATGGCACCGATGCGGACGTTCTCAGCTCAGCGCGACCGACAAGACCACCGGTCGGGACCCTACGACAAGGTGGAGTTCTCCGAGGACGTGGTGTTCCTGGATGTGGACGCGCTGCCCAAGGGCTGGAGTTACAGTGAGCAGGAGCAAGCATTCTACCTGGACTACGAGGAATGCTACGTGGCCGGCGAACTGAGCGAGAAGAACATGAACGCGGAGGACAAGGCCAAGTTCGCGGAGGCGAAACGTGTGGAGTTACAGAGCTTCTTTGACAACCAGGTCTGGGAGCAGGACAAGGACGAGGTGAAGGACCCCAACAAGGCGCTGAGAGCACGTTTCCTGCTCGAGCGGTCGAAGAACGCCGACGGAAGCTACAGGGCAAAGGCGCGGCTAGTTATCCAAGGGTTTCGAGATCCAGACGCTGTTGCGGGGAAGCTGGCCCAATCCCCACCGACGATGACTAGACTGAGCAGAACCTTCATCGTGATGTTTGCGCGCATTCACGGCTGGATCCGGTTCACCGCGGATGTCAGCGCCGCGTTCCTGCAGGGCAAGCGCTCGGATCGCGGGATACCCGTGCTGCTACCAGCGGAGGCGTGCAGGATGCTCGGCTACCAGGCGGGTACACGGATGAAGCTGCTTAAGAGTATGCACGGACTGAGCGACGCGCCGAAGCTTTGGTGGGAGGAAGCTACAGACCGCATGATTGCGTGTGGTTTCGTGGTTCACCCGCTGGACACTTGCCTGTTCCTGAGCTACCGCCTGGACGCGACCAACTCGAAGGTATTCGACGGCGCGATCGGACTACACGTTGACGACATGCTCGGTGGCGGCAGCAACCAGGACGGCAAGGCATGCTCCTCAGCGCGCGTGAAGGAGGTCAAGAAGGTTTTCAACTTCAGGACGTGGGAGGACACCGAGAAGGGCACGCTGAATGTAGCCGGTGACGCCTCGATGGATTTCTGCGGGAACCAGCTCTCAAAGACGACGACAGGAGATTATCAGATGAGCTGTGAAGCCTGCATCAAATCGCTCAAGCCGATCACCGTGACCAAGAACCGAGCGAGCGACCTGAAGTTGGCTATCACTGAAGGCGAGCGTCGACAGCTACGAGGATTGATGGGCAGCTTAGCGTGGCCCAGCAACCAGGCAGCGCCACACTTGCAGTGCAGTGTCAGCCTGGGCCAAGGTACGATCAACGAGGGCTCCACCGTGCAAGACCTGGTGGAGGCCAACAAGACGCTGCGGTTTGCCAAGGCCAACAGCGACGTGTGCCAGGTGTTCCCCAAGATATGTGACGACCCGGACGATGTGACGTTCATTTGCATGACGGACGCAGCGTGGGCAGTTCGACGTGATGGGAGCTCGCAAGGAGGCTACCTCATCCTGGCTACTCACAGGCGCGTGCTTAGCGGCGAGACCGTCAAGTACGTGATCGTCGACTGGCGCTCGTGGAAGCTACCGAGGGTGAGTAGATCCTCACTGGCGAGCGAGGCCCAAGCTGCAGCCGGAGGCGTGGACGCGCTCGAGTACGTGAAGGTGCACCACAGCTTGATGCTCGACCCCACGCGGGACCCGAGGCTGAACGGCACCATGACGGTGCTGGGCAAGAGTGCGCTCGTGGTGGACGCGAAGGCTCTCTACGACGCCGCCCAGAAGCCCCACGTGCACAATTTCGACGACAAGCGGACAGGCATCGAGGTGCAGCTGCTCAAGGAGCGCTTGACGGCGAGCGCGACGGGCTGGTACTGGGTCAGCTCGGAGCGCCAGTTTGCAGACGGCTTCACCAAGCTGGCAGCGCGACAGTTGTTGGCAGACCGACTCAGGTCTGGAACGATCAGCCTCAGGTTCGACGAGAAGTTCCAGGCCGCCAAGAAGAAGACCGCCAAGGACCGCCAGGCAGAGGCCAAGAGGTTCGCCATATCTAAGCCAAAAACCAGCGCGATCACGGCTCTGGCGACCATGACGTCTATGACGACAGCGGCGGCCAGCGAGGTGAAGATATACGAGAGCGAGGCGGAGCAGGCCCTGGTGGAGTTCAAGTGGACCGAGAGCCAGAGGATTGTGATCAGCATGCCGCTCAGCACGTTCGTGAAAGGGCTCTTCAGCATGCTGGTGGCGATCGTGCTGCTGGGCTTCGTGTGCTGCGCAGGGCTCAAGGCTGCAGGAACGGCGCGGCCGGTCCGGACATCTCCAGAGCCAGGCAGTGAAAAGGAGTTTGTACCGACGCAAATCCCGAAGGAGAAGAAGGTGAAGTTGAGTACGGTCAAGTGGGACATTGGTTGCCAGGGACCAGTCAACTACACGAGTGTTGGGCGACCCGACGGACAGTACGGACAGTACAAACACGTGACGAATGGATTTCGGCGAGGCTGGGAGGTTACCCGTGAGCTGCACATTGTGCAGCAGAAGCCGCACCATGAGTGACGGTGCCCCGGCAAATCTTGATTTGCATCCTGTTCCAGTCTCGTGCCTTTTCTTTCCCCACTCTCTCAATGAAGCTATCTCAGCAGAGGCATGCGACTACTTTGTTTGGCGCAGTTTCTCTCGAGCAAGGCGGAGTTGGTGTCCGGACGCCAGTTTGGGCGGTCGAGCCGACGATAATGATCTGCGAGCTGCTGTGGTGTTCTTTTATTTTCACGTAATTGAGGTGAAAGTTTTACAAGTTTTCATTCCCTTTCTTACCAGTGTGAATTGCACTCCGTACAATGTGTTTCCAGAGGTGTTTCTGACTAATATGTTAGAGCAAGCACTCTCCCCCCCCCCCAGCAGCGTGGCAGCATGTGTAAAGCAGGCATGGTAGAAAGGAGCAAGCACTGTTGCCGTTTGAGCTCGAGAGGCCTCTCGACTGACCAGAAACGCTATCATCACCCTCCCTGCACGCAGAGCGATTGTGGACGAGGGTGCTCGAGGAGAAGTTGGCAGGTTTCGGACTTCGATTCGAACACGATTGAAGACTTAGAGTGCTTCGACCGATTCACACCAGTATCCCTGGACAGCGATTCGTTTTTGTGTTTAGGGGGGACTTGGCGGTACTAGTTTGGTCGTCTTGGAGGCACCCTAGGGTTCTGGTGCCGCTTGAGCCTCTCGTGAAACCATTCTGTGGGTGGCGTCTTAGGGTCAACTTGGGCCGGCTCTGGGCTCCCTTGGGGCTCTGTTGGGTGGCCTTGTGGTCCCTTTGGCTCTCTTGAAACTGTATTGAGGCAATCTCGGGGGCCGAATGGGCGGCCTCAGACGCCCGAAGACTAAAAATGTGTATCTCGGAACCGTCGACCTAGCAACATCGAGTGATTGGTGACATGATTGAGCCTCCGACAATCCAAAACGCAACCACTTCAAGCCTGCACCACAACATTGTCAAACAATGATTACTG